AGGGCAGGAAGGACATACAGAGGCTCTCCCAGGCTCTTTGGTCAGACTCATTAAATCTGATCTCCAGTCTTGCACAGTTGTACCAGTTCCCCTCCTGGACTCGCTTCCTCTGATATCACTTCACACTGCGAGCTTCCCACAATGTGGATTAGAAGCTGCTGCAAGTCACATAGAGCTCCGCCTCCTTTCCTGGCTGGAGGATGTCTAGCATCTTCTAGCCATTCCCTTCCCAGCCTGACTGTCCCTGGCCCAGCCCCTTTCATTCATTGGATGTCAGTTCTTTCAATCATGGAGGCTCAGCATCACATGTAGGCGTATCATAGGGCGTTGTTCATGCAAATACATCCTGCCTAGTAGGGATGCACCGATAGCGGTTTTTCGGTATCGAGTACCGATATTTTTTTTTTCTGGAACTCTGCAATACCGAATAACAATACCAGAAGTCCCTTTAAGGAAGCCAGGCGGCGTGTAAAAACTGGCCACCTGGCTTCTCAATTTGCAGGGAAGCCGTCTCCATGCTTCCTCGTCACCAGGGGGACAAGAAACCATGGAGCCGGCTCTCCGTCCAATCAGGAAGCCGGGTGCAGTGTAATGACAGGGCACCCGGCTTCCTGATGTGCCGGGAAGCCGGCCCCATGCTCCCTCATCCATAGGTGATGGAGCATGAAGCCGGCTTCCCGGCCAATCAGGAAGCCGGGTGCCGCGTCATTACAAGCTGCCCGATTTCCGGATTGGCCAGCTTCCCGACCAATCAGGAATCCGGGCAGCGAGTCATTACACGCTGCCCGGTTTCCTGATTGGCCGGGAAGCTGGCTCCATGCTCCCTCGTCACAAGTGACGAGGGAGCATGGAGCCGGCTTTCTGTCCAATCGGGAACCCGGGCGCACCGTGTAATGACAGGGCACCCGGCTTCCTGATGGCCTGGGAAGCCGGCTCCATGTTCCCCTATGGCACTGCCGATCAGAGGAAATCTTCCTCTGACCGGAAGTTCTGGTATCGGGGAAGGTATTGGAGAATTTGGGCTTGTATCGGTATCGGTGCATCCCTAACTTTCAGCGCTTATGAACAAATTAAATGTTCTGACTTCAGTGGCTGCACGCTTATACCAGGTCAGAACTCAAGGCGCAGGAATGGGGCTCATTGTATTCATCGAACTCTCCATCTATATTTGTTGCAAGCCAAAAATAAACAAATACAATGAAAATCCGGTGACACATGTGCAATGAGATGGGGGGGGGAGCATACACAAGAACATAAGCAGAAAACATTTGCTGTGAGAGTCTCTAAAGACTTAAGAAAAAGGAAATGTGACTCATCTCAAATGGTATCCACCCGAAATAGGACATCGGCTTTAAGTGGGCCTCTAAAGGGGTCATTAATATCACGCTGCATACACAATTGTAATGTTTGAATATATCTAAGGGAGCCATTATAGTGCCAGGAGGGAGTACAAAAGGAGACCTGATGGAGAACTTTATTTTTGAATACATATACATTGTACTCCTGAAGCTAACTGATCAAGAATTAAACACAGAATGAACAGGCGGCATGAAATCACAGAGCAGCTCAATTGTGGCCTATGTGTCACCTATTTTCGCTGACCTGCCAGGTCTTACTGCAGCACCCCCCATCCCCCTTCCTTTCTCCTACACAAGTGTGTTACACATGAAACCAGGTGAAAAACACATTTCTGTTTAACATTACTGTTAACTCTTATCAGGCTGATGGGAACCTTCAATATTTTCCTTAAAGGACAACCCACTGAAAGAGGCTTTTCACTTCCATTTAAAGAACTATGGGGTCAGGGCTTTTCCCCATAGTTCTCCTTAGGGTAACGGGAGGACACAAACTAGCGTCCTCCCGTCACCCTAAGCTCAGTATATAGGGAGCTACAGCTCGCGGTATACTGAGACGCCGGAGCGGATTCCGACATCGATGTCTGGATCCGCCCAGCTGCGTGAGTGACAGCTGTCTCTGAAAATGGAAACCCATCAGGTACCTCCTACCAGAGCAAGGCCTTCCATTTGGAATCCAAACTGGTGATTTAATCCAAGAGTGTCACCAAGCAGCCCCAAGGTTACCAATGTTGGGAGCTTAATGGCTTCTCTAGGTACACTATATAGCCAAACGTTTGTGGACCCTTGACCATCACACCTAGGGCCGGATTTCCTCTCCCAGCCGCCCCAAGGACAGGTTCCACGATACATATGGAGTTGGCCTTCCCTTTACAGCTACACCAGCCCCCTCTCTTCTGAGAAGGCTTGCCACAAGATTCTGGAGGGTGTCTGTGGGAATTTGTGCCCATTTAGCAAAAGTATTGTTTGCGAGGTAAGGTACTGATGTTGGATGAGAAGACATGGATCAAAATCAGTGCATTCAAAAGGTTAAGGATGCACCGATACCGTTTTTTCGGTATCGAGTACCGATATTGGCTCACCGCCCAGCTTCCTGATTAGCTGGGAAGCCGTCACCAAGTGACTAGCAGGTATGAAGCCGGCTTTCTAGCCAATGAGGAAGACGTGGGGGGCGGGTAATGTCTCACCGCCCTCCCTGATTGACCAGCTTCCGGACCAATCAGGAAGCTGGGCAGCGTGTAATGACCAGGTATCGGGATAGGCATCAGGAGCATTTGGCTAAATAGGAGTAGTCGCCCAAATACTCGGTATCGGCACCGATACTAGTATCGGTGCCTCCCTACCAAAGGTGTTCAGTATGGCTGAGGTCAAGGCTTTGTGGAGGCCACTCGAGTTTCTCCACAACAGACTGGTCAAACCATGTCTTTATGGAGCTGGCCTGGTTGCCCCCTCTTTGGAGCTACAACAGTCTTCACAGGATTTTGAAGTGTGTTGGTGGGAATTAGTGTCCATTGGTGAGGTCAGGTCAGATGTTGGGTGAGAAGACCTCGCTCACAATCCAGTTCACCCCAAAGGTGTTCAGTAGGATTGAGGTCAGGGCCCCCCCGTGAAGCCCACTCACGTTCCTCCACACCAGCCTGGTCACACCCTGTCTTTATGGATCTGGCTTTGTGCTCATGCTGAAACAGAAGAGGGTCTTCACCAAACTGTTAACACAAGGAAGAGCACAATTGTCTACAATGTCTTAGAATGATGAAGCATCATCCTATAATGGAAACACCCGAACTCAGCAACATGGAGGGGGCTCCACATACAGAGAGACCACTGCTTCCACACAGATAACAAGGGTACTTCTCGGCAGCATGCTGGCAAGGGGCAGGCTTATCTACTTAGGCTTTTCTGAAGAAAACAAACCATCAGACTTTGCAGATCATTTCTTTTGCTGCTACCGGAATGTATTCAGGACCCCAACACTGTGCATCTCCCTAATCATAACCAAGATCTCCATCCCGACACCTACCGTGTTGATATCGGTATTTGCAATACTCCTCGTAGTTTCCCAGCTGAGCTTCAGGCAGCAGACCTGCGATATCCCCGTCGGCCTGGGCCACAATTCTCCATCCCATAACCGGTACCCGAGGGTCAGGGCTGCACACCACCACCGGACTCGGCAGTCTCTTCCCCGGAGGGTCCTGCTGTTTCTGACCTGGAAGCACGGCCCACACCGACAACTCTGGACAGGGGGACACCTCCACCTTCTTTCGGAAGTTGTAGACCTGCAGATGTTTCTGGATGGGCTCCAACGCCTGGATGTCACACTCTAGTAGTAGGTCAGACTGGCCATCCGTGGGGAGCCTGGAAGAGACGTCAACCATAATATATTCATATAATCACTCTTACTCTCCCTACCACACGGCGTCATTCAACCGGGAGGGCATGCGGAGAGCACAGAACATCATGGGACCCTCCCGCTAAGAGGGTGTCACCACAGGGCACTGCACTCACAGTGTCATGATGCAGAGAACAGCTATGGTGGGGGGAGAAAAATAAGGCCCACCTAATCCCCGGGTGACTAGGTTTCCTTTAAAGTACTTTAAGATTGGAGCTGAAGTTTAATCTGTTTATATTATGCCTTCCCTGGCTCCTCCCCTCCCCCCTCCCCCATAGTTACATAGTTACATAGTATTTGAGGTTGAATAAAGACACATGTCCATCAAGTCCAACCTATTGTGTGTGTGTGTAAAGATCCCCGCGTCATCTCGTTTTTAGGAGTACTTGTACCCCTGTATATTACCGTTTCTCAGGACATCGTCCAAAAGCCTCTTGAATGATTCCAGACTATTAGCTGAAATCACTGCTTGTGGCAACGAGTTCCAGACCCTAACCGCGCGAACTGAGAAGAATCCACTTCGCCCCTTGTGTTTGAATTTTTTTTCTACCAGTTTCAGGTGGTGTCCTCTAGTCTTTGTTACGGAATTAATCGTAAAGAGTTTATTGCTAATGTTGCTATGACTATGGAACATTTTGTACATGAAAATCATGTCCCCCCTTAATCTCCTTAGTTCCAGCGTGAACATATTTAAATTTAGTAACCGTGTCTCATAGCTCTGGTCCTCCATCCCTTTGATGAGTTTGGTCGCCCTTCGCTGGACTTTCTCCAGTTCAAGGACATCCCCTCTGTGTACCGGTGCCCAAAACTGCACCGCATACTCCAGGTGAGGCCGAACCAGTGATGTGTAAAGTGGCAAAATTATAGACCTATCCCTGCAAAACATTCCCTTCTTGATGCAGGACAGGACTCTACTAGCTTTGCTTACCGCAACCTGGCACTGTAATCTATTATTGAGTTTATGGTCTACAGTGACCCCCAAATCTTTCTCCATTTCAGACTTCCCTAGCGGCATACCCATTATTGTATAACCCATTTGCGTGTTTTTTGTCCCAAAGTGCATAACTTTGCATTTATCAACATTAAACCTCATCTGCCATAAAGTTGCCCACTCCCCTATTTTATCCAGGTCCTCTTGTAAAGATATACTATCTTGGTTTGTTTCTATTACCCTTCCAATTTTGGTTTTATCAGCAAACACTGAGATATCGCTGTTTACTCCGTCCCCGATGTCGTTAATAAACAGGTTGAAAAGCATGGGTCCCAACACAGAACCCTGAGGCCCAGCACAGAACCCTGAGGCACACCGCTAATAACACTAGCCCAGTCTGAAAGGGCGCCATTTATTGATACTCTCTGTACCCGTTCCTTTAGCCAGTTCTCTATCCTTGTACACACCACCTCATCTATCTATGCCCATAGCTCTTAGCTTGTGTAGTAAGCGTTTATTACCGTATCAAAAGCCTTAGCGAAATCCAAATATACCACATCCACAGACCTCCCTCCATCCAGAT